ATTACAGAAAATTCAAACTTGATTTGATCATAAAAACTCGACTTTTAAGTTTAAACCTTCAATTTTAATTTAAAACTTAAAAACATTTGTATTGGAAAAATTACAACATAATTATTAAACTCAAAAATAAAGTATATTAAAAATATAAACACAGTAATAAAAACAATTAATATATAGATTAATAATAAAATATGAGTATAATATTAAACACAAAATATCAAATGCATCAAGACAAATGAAATATGAAAAAGTTATTTAAAACACTTACACTTTACAAACATATAAAACATTGTACTAAATTTACTATTGTTTAAGATATTCAGTAATTGAATACTTAGGATAATGATTAGCATTTGTATGGTCGGGATCACTGGTAGTGTCGACCTCATCAAAGTCCTCATCAGCCGGGTTACCAAACTCACTGCCATTATCTCCATAAACACTTGTGGTGGCCTCGGAGATGGGTCGCGGGAAAACCAGGTCTGTAATGGTATTAGTGGTCACCTCATCGACGAGAGCGTCGGGATGTAGCCGATGGAAGGCCAGCCCGCGGGCCACCCTATAGTAGGCGCTCAGGTTCTTCCAGTCGAGCAAATCGTTCAGACGCTCCGTACGGTTGCGTTGGATGACTCTCTGCCGGTGCGATAGTGTCGTGAAGTCGTACATGTATTGCGCCAACTCTTGGATGGACTCCTCGCACGACTTGAACCGTCTGTCCACTATGTATATGCCGTAACTAATGGGGTCGGCCACGTGTTCGGCCATAAAGCAGCCAAAGCCCGACAGATTGGTGGTGACGGAGGGTATGCCCATAACGGTGCACTCGGCCGGTGTGTAGCCCCAGGGCTCGTAGTACGAGGGAAAGACACCTAAATTGCAACCCCGAACAAACTCCTCGTACTCGATGGCGAACAGAGGGCTGGTAGACGAGAGGAACTCCGCGTGAAATATGACTTTCACGCGATCGCTGCGATCGTTGAACAGTTTGGTGCGCCGGATGTGACTGAGCACCGGGTCGGCCGAGTCGTCCACCATGTTATGGGTGCTGACAGGGGGTAGGGATGAGCGTTGACTCGCGTAGACGCAGCGCTTCAGCTTCACGATGTCCTGCGGTTTGATGAGCTCCGACAGCTCCGGCACCCGACCGCTCAGACACTTCTCGAACATACGCTTCCCGACCCTCGTCTGCACGTCGGCTATCGTCTCCCGGAGTTGTTTGGCGACCGCCTGACCCCTCAGGGAGTCTATGTTGAGGCTGTTGGTGTGGGCGGGGAATATGAAAAAGGCCACAACCGTCATATCACTGTCCGCCACCTTCAGGTAGTGGTTGAGTCGGGCCAACGACTCGATGAAGATGTCGACGCCCTTATTGCCGAACTCGTAGCGGCCGCTGATGAAGAAGTAGAGGGTTTTGTTGAGATCAAAGTCGTAGTGACCGAAGAAGTGTCCCCTAACGAAGTCATGGATCTTCTCTTTGGCCATTGTATGCAAGTTCTGGAACTCATGGCTCGCGACAGAGCTCTTCACGTTCAGGCCATTGGGTGTCACTATACAGGCCTTCCGTTTCAGGAGGTGCTCGGCCTCGAGCGCCGTTATGTCCGATACGGTGGTGAACACGTGCGCCGAGTGCACGGCCGCCCTCTCCAGGCAGTAGCGGTGGTAGATCTGGCGCTCGCCGGCCTCCCTGTCCAAGTGGAAC